GGGGCCGGAGGGGTGAGTAGCGGGCTGGGGTGCACCCCGGGGCAGGGCATGGAGAGCGTGCCCAGCCCGTGCTGCCAAGGAAGCCGCCTGGCCTCAGTTGCCAGCTGTGCCCCGTCCACCCGCTGTCCGGCTCCGCGGCGGAGGTGGCTGCGTCTTGGCCCCCGGGCAGGGAGGCCTGGCCTGGCCCTGCCTGGCGAGCGGGGGGTGAGGTGCGGAGAGCCCCGCCGGGCAGGCGGGTGGGGGAGAGGGGAGGCCGCGGCGCCGCTGGCGATGAGCTCCGTGGAGGTTTGAGGCTGGGGCAGGGACGAGAGCGAGGGGTAATGTGGAGCGAGTCCGGGGGCTGTGAGGAGGAGGAGTCGTTTTAGTGGGATCTGGGCCTGAGCGGGGCAATCTCAGCGGGCAGAGCCATCCTGTCGGTAACCCTCGACATGCCCAGAGGATGAGGTGGGTAACAAAGTGCCCTGGTGCTCCTTGTTTCCTCTGCCCCGTGTCTGGTTTGCAGCCAGGTGGCTAACCTGTTCGAGCTGGGCTGGGTGCAGTCCCTGAATCCCGAGACGGACCTGTGACGAGTCAGAAACCGAAGAATGACGGTGTTGGTAAGTAGCCAGACCCCTTGACCTGGTGATAGTCCCACACCTTGGGAGTGTAGCCTGTAACACGTGGCAAAATGGTCTAAGGTCCGTGCACTAAGGAAACACTCTTGACATCCTGTCGTGGGTGGGGGCCGGGAGCAGCTGGTGTCTTGTCACAGTTGATCAAATTTTATCAAGAGTTAGGGTGGCCATCGCAGAGGACAATCTGGTTGTCCTCTGCCCTCTATTGATATGAAACCCGGCGCCTTTATGTCCTCTATTTTTCTCTTGAAGAGAAAAATAGAGGACATAAAGGTGTTGGGTTTTGTATCAATAGAGGACAGAGTAGCAGAAAACCAGAACATCCTCTATGATGGCCACCCTCTCGAAAGCATTGTTGGACAGGCATGTCATGTCCACGTATCGGGGTGGTGCTAGGACTGCTGACCCTCCTTGGGAAGGAACCGCGAAGACCAGGGAGGCTGTGGGGAGACAAGGGGCTGAGAAGGCCATTAGCAAGCAGGTATGCCTCTTCTCTTCTCCCGTGTGGGACGGAGCAGTCTGTCTCAGGAATGGGCTACAATAGACCAGGCTGGCAGGGAAAGCTGAGGGAAGACGTCACAGAAGCAGCTGGATCTTGTTTCTCCCTATGTGACTTTAATGACTAGGTGTCTGCAGGCCGTGTCACAGGATCTGCCATTTCAAAGGCAAAGCTTCCCACTCCCGGAGGAGTGAGAGTGGCAGGCACTCGCATCCAGGACTTACCCACTATTGATTGCTTGAGCATTACGCAGTATTTGGAGGAGATGTGTTTGCAGAGCAGGTAGTCCTGCTCCCTTGGCACAGTGGCTTATGGAGCAAAGCCATCTTTGAAGAGTTTAACATGGAGGGGGTGATGCAGGGCCTGCGGGAGTTGAGTAACCTCCTGCAAATCCAAGTGGGCATCCTCCTTCCTGCCTTCACGGTCCTCCTTCAAACTCGTGTCTTCAAGGGCTGCGGCAAGTGCTCATTGAGCCAGACTCTCCCTGCTGTCTTCTTACTCTGTTTTCCATGCTTTCTGTCTCCCCATTTGTTTGGTCCCCCTGTTGTGTTGCCCTGTAAGCTCAGTGGACTGGAGATGTCTTTTGCATGAGGGTTCATGTGGGGTCTGGCACAGTGGGGCTTCACTTAGTACTGCCATAGCGCACAGTGTGCGGTCAATCCTGGCTTCCTTTCCTCCCAGGAAAACAATGCAAAGGAGCAGACTCTGCTAATATATGGAACAGGACAAAAAACCCCCCACAGAAACAGAGAGCTGCCTTACCGCAAACATCTGGCGCATCCCTAAAAATAACCTCAACATTGCTTTATTTGCAGTAGTGCAAACAGTAACAAATACAGCCAGCGCAGTAATGCAGCTGGGAGATGGCACGCCAGGTCAAAGAACCCAGAAAAACAAATGGTGCAAACTGCAGCAAATCCAGCAAACTCGGTCACAACAGGGCACTTCGGGCAGTTTGGAAAAGACAGGCAGCCTTTCAAGAAACAATCCGTTGTCTCAGTTTGTTTGTGAGCAGCTCTTCTATTTGGGGAAAAAAACCCGACAGCCTGAGTCCTCATGGAGAGTCTCTTCCATAAATTGGCCAAATGTGTTTTGAGCGTTGTGTGGATCAGTTGCTAAGACGGGTGCTCGGGTATCAGCATCTTTAGCAGCATGCTTTGGGGCCTCTGTAGGCCCTCCTGAAAGTTGGCTTCATACTGCCCTCAGTATTTGGTGCCTCATACCAGAGCAAGTTTTTGCATATATGCTGAACTATATTGCGTGAGCTCTTCCACTGTTACTTGGCTGTAGCATGATACCAGTGGAAGCAGGTGAGTGCCGGTATTTGGTTTCACATTTTTCTGGGTTTTGTTGATCCT